ATTCTCAATCATTTCAGGAGCTGATTATTCCTTCTGCCAATTATCCATCTGTCCCTATTTCTATTCTTCCCCCCTCCTACTATTTTAAGCATCTTTATTGCAGTTTCAAACTGACACCAGAGGGTGGGAAAAGATAAGCACTTGAAGCCAGAGTCTCTCTCCTCAGTGCCTAAAGTCACTTAAGAAAAACGTTAAAACTTCAAGAGACATCAAACTCCCTTTTAGTCAGTGAATTCTTCTCATTTATTGCATCATTGCTATCATTCTTAAAAGCTTACAGCTAGAGGGGATCTTGGGGAATCATCTTTTATTTTCCATATGAAGAAATGAAAGAAAATAGAAGTTAAGGGCCTTGTTGAAAGTACCTGCCTGCTCAGATCCAGAGGCCAACAGTCTCCTTAGTCCTCTCTCAGGGCTGTCTACTTCTCCTAGATGCCTTTCGCCTGTATGAACAGACCTCCCTTGGCCCCTAACCAGCTGCCAGGCCAAAGGATGTGGCTAAATGACCTAAAGTATAGATGGCACAGTCGGTTTTTGTTATTCTGCCTAAGTTAGACTGAGAGCTGTAGGGTAGGGTGGGAGCACAGCACAGAGAGGAAAGCTTTTCCTTTGTCTCCCATCCACAATGAAGGCAGCTCCTGGGACTAAAACTGGAAGGTGCCTCCCAGGTCATCTGGTCTAATTCTCTTGTTTGGTAGAGAGGGAAGTAGACTGACCAAGATTAAATGACTTCCCCCAAGCTCATAGAGGTAGTAAGCAGAGGAGCGATAATTCAAACTCACGTCCTCTGATTCCCTAGAACCTCACGGGACTAAAGAAGCAGTGGAATATAGAAGAAAGTGGAGAGAAAAGGTGTTCAACTCTCACTTCTGACCCTTGATAGCTAGATGACCTCAAGTAAGTCACTCTCTGAGCCTCAGTTTCCACATCTGTAAAATGGGTTATATCATATTTATCTTCACAGGGTTTCTGTGAAGATCCACAGACTCAGTAAACCGTACTGGTTGGTTCAGAAGGAGGCTCGTGCAAAATAGCTGGTTAACATCTGCTGGCACATGGTACATTTTGCCTGTCAGCTGGCATTTGGGAACATGGGTCAAAGCTGCTGAGGACAAGTAAAGATAGACAACCACAAAGCCTGCCTTCACTTATGTGGGAGATAGTAGAAAGTGGATGTGCCCTTGCTCAAAGGCCCCACAAACATTCTTCCTAGTTGCAGTCATTCTGAAGACTAACCAGTAAAACAAAACCGTTCCACCTTATGGTAGTATTCTTCCCAAAATGCTGGTTCTCTAGCATCTGTATGCCTCTAGACATCCCTAACTTAAGAAAATGTTTATCATATGCTTAAATCTCAGATCATGAAACTATAAATACTGATTCTTTTGATTCCAATGAAATTGAGTTAAAAGAACTCATCAGGGAGACAGATATCAGTTCAGGACCTTAACTCACTCATTACAAAGTGGCCCAGATGGCATTAAATAAATTTAGGGACTTTTCTGAAATATTGATAAAAGACATCTCAACACCTCGGTGAATCTGTAATTTTGCCAATGTGAGTACCCCCTACACTGGTGTAGATGTGAATTCTTCCATGCCTTCTCATCACATGAGATTCCTGCCTATGTGGTCCTTGTTAGGAATCTTCCTCTGGTTCTTTCAGCATTCTGTAGACACCAGTGTAACAAGTACAGGGGCAGTCCAAGGGACGGTGCGTGGCTATGAGGCAAGGTACACTCAGGCCTCCAAAGAATTCAGGTCGAGGATCACTCAACAGGGAATATGGCCCCTTTGGGTGGATGTTAGCAAGCAGTGACACATTGTCAACAATTAATTATGTAAGAGAATCAGTGAAATATATGTCATAAAAGAAGTGTGTGGTCAAAAAAGTTAGGCTGGTCTCATTATAAGACCAAGAGATAACCGATGGATAGCCGATGATGACAGATAGATTGGTTTCCTAAAGATTTTTGTTGTTTTGTTGGTAAGTTGTTTTCAGTCTTGTTTGACTCTTTGTGACCACATTTGGGATCTTCTTGGCAAAGATATTGACATTGTTTGTCATTTCCTTCTCCAGCTCATTTTACAGATAAGGAAACTGAGACAAACAGGGTGGAGCGACTTGCCCAGGGTCACACAGCTACTAAGTGTTTGAGGTCAAATTTGAACTCAGGTCTTACTGACTCCAGGCTCCATGCTCTTTCCACTTCACCACTAGCTGTCCCTTCCTAAAGATTACTCCTCATTAAAAAGACATTTGTGTCATATTTTTGCATACAAGTCATCACTGCTTACATACTGCAGCCACTGTCACCTTCCACACATCTTTTCATTGCTCATTGGGTCACTGGTAATGTGAATTCTTCTGAGTTTGTATTCTTCTAATATTTAGGTCATCATATAACATCACTGGGAGAATACTGGTATAAAATGTGGTTTGGTGGCAAAAAATATAGACTCAGACGTCACCATTACAATTCTCCTGGGTGTAAATTTTCTACCAAAGAAGGTATTAACAGATTTGGCATTAGAAACCTTAAGGAAGATATATGTGACCAAAAAAGGGAGGGGGGAAGGGGAGATGAGCTATCAAAACTGAGACTGAAGATAGACAACCCAAGCAAGGCACTGGTGATTTGAGATCAACTCTTTTCAGTTCCTCCAACACAATTTTTTATCTTCCATAACTGTGCCTTTGCTCTGGCTGTTCCCCAAATCCAGAATTCTCTGCCCTCTACCTCTGCTTCTTAATTTCCCTGGCTATCTTAAAGATTCAGCACAAAATCCAAATTCAACAGGAAGCTGTTGCTTGTTTCTTCTTTCCCCCTCCAGTTACTAAAGTTTTTCTTGGTCAGATTACCTTCATGGACTCTGTCGTATCTTGTAAATCCCTAGAGATTACATGTCATCTCCCCACTAGACTGGGAGTTCCTTGAGACTGGCCACTGTTTTTGGCCTTACTTTGTATCTGGACACACGGAAGCATTTAAGAAGGCTTATTGACTGAATGTGACTGACTGAAATCTTAGAAGAGAAAGGCTTCCAGTGTGCTAGATATGGAGCCTACTTGAAGATCTAGGGGAAAACACAAAAAAGAATCACACAGGATTAAAAGGCATCTCTGGGTTTTGATCTGTAACAGTGGAGATGGTAACCACCCTGCTGACATCAGGGATCCTTTCAAGTTAGTATGCCCAGGTCCTGTAGGCACCATAGAGTAAATGAACATGATAGGCTTTAGCACAATCAATTACCATTCCATACCTTGAAAATGTTAAGGCCTCTTCTAAGAAAATACCTTAGACATGACCTGGAAGGATCTTGCAACATTCTTCCCTTTTATGATATAAAACACTAAACATTTGAAATGGTATTAAAAAGAGTGGTTACTATGGAAAGAACAGAAAGAATTAAGTCTTGCAAACATTCTCCCAATCTTTTGGATTAAAATAAATGGAAGTGTAACTAAATAATTCTTGAGCCTGCCCCATTTTCTCCAAAATATTCATCAACATCCCAATGTTTTTGGACACACTTTGGCTAAGTGGGATTTCCTCTTACAATGTAAGTATTTTAAGATTTCTCATATAAAAAAAAAAAAACAAGAGATTATCCGGCTGAAAAATTACTGATTTCTCTTTCAAGGTAAATTGATTCATATATTCATGGAATTTCTCTGGATATTCCAACACATTAAGATATAGCTATAGATATACATACATACCCATACATAATATGATTACAAATATATTGGTTTCCTAAAAATTACATTTTTAGTCTGTAACATCAGTGTATTTGGTGGCTGGAATGAAAATAATTTTAAAAATCATACAGTTTTGGTTTTATTTTCATGCTTATGACTGCCTCAGCATCCAAAATACACTAAATTTAACACAAATTAAAGTGGCTTTCAATGAATCTTTAAGAGAGCTAACAAAGGTGGTAGCCATTTCTTAGAATTTCTAAGTGGCAGGGTTTAAAGAAAGGTCTTTTCAACCTCGTCGTCTGACCACCAGCTTCCAAAGAGGGGATAATGGGCCATTTATAACCGTTAATCCGAACGTGGTCACCCGGGTGAAAAGTGCAATGCCTGAGATGATGGAAGAAGACTCCTTTTCATATTCCTGGCCTAATAAACGACCTGGAGAGGTGATTTTAAAAGACTGATCCTTTTAACAGGATGGGACTGATCAATACAAAGAAAAGAGCTAAATCCAAGGAGTACTGATAGATTCTTGTTAGAGGATTGATCTCGGTTCTGTATGGAGACTTCCTAGTAGGTAGATGGCGAGGCAACACTAAGGGAAGGAAGGGGCAATCAGCAAACCACCCGACAATCTCAAGATCAAAGCGCTCACACAAGAGCTGGAGTCAAGGTCATATCGCAGGGATGCTACTCTTGAGCTGTGCTGTGCTGCCAGCTTGGGGAACCCCCTGGCCGAGCAGGAGTTCTTGACCATTAGCTAGGAAGACGCAATAGGGCAAAGAGCAGGCCGGGGCTGGGCTGGGAGGATGGGAGGGCGCAAGCCTGGAGGGGCATGGTGACAGGGGAAGCGGGAGGATGGAGGATAAGAATGAAGTGAGAAGGTGCGAATTATAACAAAACAATCGAGGAAGGCTGCAAGGAGAAACCGCACGTCTGAGAGCCAGGCAGGGCAGAGGAAAGCGCAGCTTTCCAAGGGACCCGGGGTACACCCTCCTTGGGCCCGGGAGTCTCTCCGGCGACGCGGGCTTTAGATGGCAGCTCCGAGCTGCTCTGCACAGGCATCTGCCCCAGCCAGCGCGCTTCCCCGCGCCTCGCCTCCTGAGGACGGACTGACCGACGGATGGACTGACGGACGAAAGGTCCCCGTCTCCCTCCCCCTGCCACGCACAGCCTCGTCCAGCGCAGCGGCCGCCGTCCCCGTGGGCTGCGCAGCCCCGCCGCTGCGTGGAGGAGCGCGGCCCCCCTCCCCTGCCCACCTCCATCTCCGTCTCCATCCCCGACCTCCCTCCAGCTCCAGCTCGCCCTGTTCCGCCTCTGACCCTCCTCCGCTCCGCGCACTGCGATCTGGCCGGAGGAAGGGGAAGGAGCCAAGACACTGCAAGAGCCAGGCCGGGCAGCCACCTGGCTACAAGCGGGCGGTAGGCCCCAGCCGGCCAGGTGCACCCACCGGGAGGCAGAGCACCCGGGGGAGGAGCCTGAGCTGCAGTAGCAGCAGCAGCAGCAGAGGGGGAGGAGGAAGAAGAGGAGGAGGAGGAGGAAGAGGAGGAGGAGTGAGATGCAGCACGACCTCCCGCCTCCGCCGCTGCCACTGCGCCTGGGGGAAGAGAGTACACCTACCCTGTCCTTGCTTCCACTCCTGGGGAAGGAGCGGGGACACTGATTTCCTGGTTCATTTGCGGGAGGGGAGGAGGGAGTTCCCATCCTACTCCTCTCCGACCTAGAGGACCCCCGGAGAGAAATCACCCAGTGAAGTGCACCCCCACCGTCCCGGACGTACAGGTTTCATTCGCCTGCATGATAAATACTGTACTACTTTTTGGGTAAAGCTCCGTTCTTCGGGAGATCACTGGAAGTGCTTTGAAAACAAGTAAGTATTCTAGTAAATATTTTGTCTGTTTATCCGGTAATGTGAGAATGGCCTTTATGCCGTCTTGTGTTATGAAATCAATGGCCAGCCTCTGCCCTGACTGCCCTAAATTATCTTTGAGCTCTGTATTCAGGCTAATCCTGGGCTTCTTGCAAATTATGCCCTTAAAATAGAGCAGAAAAAGAAAGTCTTTTCTGGAGGCCGCTCCTTATTATCTCTTCGGATTCCATGGGGAAATAGAAATTGGGGGCAGTTTTTACTCCCTTGGCTCCTTAGTTCCTGTTTGGAAAACTTCTAGGACATGGTTAAGAACGATGCTAAAGAACTCTGAAGAATGGGGAAAATGTGCTAGAGAATAATTCTTTAATATCCCTCTATGTGAAAAAAACTGAATAAATGGTTGAATTCAACTTTTAGGAACAAGTCAACTTTGTGAGGTTTTTTCCCCACCCTTCTTTCCATTTCATTCTATTGACCTTCATCTTCCTTCATTTTTTCTTCCTCCATTGGTTATGTGTATACTTCCCCCAAACCTCTATTTGTGGTCTCTGACCATAACTGTGGAAAGAACACTGCACCTGGAGTCAGTCAGAGGCCCTGCATTCAAAGCCTACCGGAGGCACCGGTTAGCTATGTGATTTTAGGCAAGTCACTTCAGTTCTCTTATCATCAGCGTCTTCATCTTTCAGATGAGGGGGTTGGACTAAACGGTCTTTGAGGTCCCTTCCAGTCCTAGGCCCTATAATCCAAAGAGGAGTAACCAGCATAAGTCTTTTGCTGCTTTGTGACCTCGTGGCTAGAAGCTGTAGACTTGAAGTCTAGTAAAGGACTTGAATCAGAATCATCCCTCAGAGGGCTTGCTGGTTTGTGTGACCCTGGGCAAGTAACTACGTTTTCTCGTTTGCGAAATGGGGATAATAATACCACCCACCTCACAGGGTGGTTATGAGCATTAAATGAAATAATATATTTAAAATGTTTTGCAAACCTTTATAAATGTTAGCTATTGTTATTATTTTGCAGACTCTTTAGCAATTTAAGATGTTCCAAATCAGACACTATTTGTGTTTCTACATGTTTCTCCCACCTTTTAGCCAAAGGCGATATCTAATTCCTAAAAGGGAGGAAGGAGAGAGAATTATAATCGAGCCATGATAAGTTTATGCAATGTAAATGTTACAGGTGGGCTGGATGGAAATAAATGGGAAAGTTTATTTGCTCTTTGCTTTTTATCTGTATAGATCACTGGGGTAGTGGGTGGAGAGCTAGCCTTAGAGTGATGAAGACTTGGGTTGCCCTGGGGAATTCTCAGGCTCTAAATGGAAGAGCTCATGCCATTCTCCATTGGTAGAAGCAGCTCCCCACAGTGATGATGTCACAGGTCCAGTTTTTAAAAAGTCGTTTCAACTCAGAAATGAGGATTTCAACATGCCACAGACATACCCTCACTTAGGATGTCAATTTGTTCTTTGAAAACTCATGGTTAGGCAAAATAATATTACATAGGGCAGTTAGCACTGTAGGAACAATGTTATAATCTTGGGAATGGATGGATAATGGCACAGGAGGGTCTTATAGCATAGGAAATGCCCTTGTGGCAAATGATTGACTGAGTTGCCTTGTTTGTTAATACTGAAAGTCCTTTGGCTCAGATAAAATAAAAGTAAGTAATAGGAGAACTCGGGAGAAGCTGGAGAGATGGGGGGTGGGATAAGACAAAGAACATGGAAGAGTGAGCTCTGACACATTTTCTGTGTGTCCTGGGAGGTAACTTGGTGTGGAAAGAGTGGAAAGAGGCCTAGCCTGGGAGTCAGGAGTCCTGGGTTCAAGACCCGACTCAGCCATTAGTTGTGTACTCTTCAGTACCTGCTGAGGCCTTCACATGTCATCTGTAAAATGAAAGGATTCTGCTGGATAATCTCCAGGATTATTTACAAATCTAAAATTCTCACATGCATAAAAGCTCTTCAATCACTCACCTCTTCAGACTAGCCAATTCCTTGGCCACTCTACAAGGTGCAGAGAAGAGGCCTGTCTGTATTGGTTGAGGAATTTCCTGACCAGGCATTCCTTATACAGAAAAAAACCACAAGGTCTGGTCCAAAAAGAGCCAATTATTTGCTGTCCTAGAAGCTCACATGCAAGGGAAAAATTATAGATCACCTTTTGAAACGCTACAAACTGACAAGCTACCCTTAGAAAGTGAAAAAGAACCCCCAAACAGAATTCAGTTCAATTTGGCAAGCACTCACTAAGGTACCTCTATGTATAAGGCACCATGCTGGGCCCTGGGGATACAAAACCAAAACAGTGGTCCCTGGGTCCTGCCCTCACGGAGCTTACATTCTACTTGGGGAATATAACATTTAAACAGATAGGTAAATAAAGTATCATTTGAGGAGGTATAGCACACTAACAATGAGGGGCATCAGAAAAGACTTGAAATAGCAGCTATAATAGAGGTAAAGAGGAAGTAACATTTGAGCTTGTAAAAGGTGCAGAGGTAGGAAATCACTCAGGATCATATATTCGAGCCAGGTGCTTAAGGCATCTAGTACAACCCTTTCATTTAACAGTGGAGGAAAGTGACTTGCCCGAGGTCACAGAGGCAGAAAGAAGTAGAGATGGTATTTGAGGCCAGGTCTTCCTAACTATGTGCCCAGTTCTCCAGCCACTGTACCATACTGCCTCAGATGAAATGCTGAGTTAGGAGAAGGATAACAAGCTCTTTGGCTAGAGAGGAGACTGGGAGAGGGAAGAGTATGGACTAAGTATAGAAAGGTAGGCTGAAGACAAACTGTGAGGAACTTCAAATGCCAAATGGAGGAGTCTGTATCTAATGCAGTAAGGAATCCCTAATTATTCTTGAGCAGGGGAATGATGTTGTCAGACCAGCACTTTAGCAAGATTATTTTGCTAGCTCTGGAGAAGATATATTTGGAGAGGGGAGAGACTATAAGTCTAGAGTCTGGACAGGAGACTACCACAGTTATTCATGTTAGAGGTAATGAGGATGGGGACTAAAGTAGGAACTACGTGAGCGTGAGGAAGACGTTGAATGGGAGATATGTCATAAAAGGTGAATTAACAAAACATGACAACTGATTGGATGTGGAATGAAAAGTTAAGGATGACAATGAGATTGCAAACTTAGTCGACATAAATAGAGGAATTTGGAGGAGGGAAAGCTTTGGAGGGAGAAGTAGAGAAGATGAGTTAATGTCAAATATGTTTTGTTTAAGACAGGTCTAAGACATCCACGTGGAGATATCCAGCAGACAGCTGGTGAAGTGGGCTGGAACTCAAGAGGGATTGGTGCTGGATATATTGAGGTAGGAGTTGTTTCCATAGAGGTGATAACTGAATGTGTAGAAACTGATAAGATCACCAAGAGAAAGAATATAAAGAGGAAAAAGAGCCCAGGACACTCCCCTGCTTGGATGGTGAGACATGTATCATGAAGAAGAAGGAGAAAGGGAATGAGCATTTATTAAGCACCTGCTGTGTGCTAGGAGGGGCAGCTAGATGACTTAGTGGAGAGAATGCTGGGTTTGGAGGAAGACCTGAGTTCAAATCCTGCCTTAGAGCTAGCTGTGTGATCTTGGGCAAACCATTTAACCTCCATTTGCCTTAACCCCCTGGAGAAGATGAAGGCAAACTATTCCAGTGTCTTTGCCAAGAAAACCCCATAGACAGTATGGTACATGGGGTCATGAAGAGTCGGACATGACTGAATAACAACAGTGTGCCAAGTACTTTGCTAAGTGCTTTACAAATATTATCTCATTTGATTCTGATGACAACCCTGGGTTGGATTTGAACTCAAGTCTTCCTGACTCCAGACCCGCGCTCCATCCACTGCCCCACCTAGCTGCCCAGCAAAGGAGACCAGGGAGTAATCATACTGAAAGAGAACCAAAAAGTAAGTGTCTCAAAAGTGGAGGAAAGAGGAAGTGTCTGAGACAAGACAGTGATCAGTTGAGCCGAAAGGCCCTTTGGTTTAGCAGTTAAGAGATCACTAGTAACCTTGGCTGAAGTAGTTTCAATTGGATGGTAAGGAGTGAAGTCAGATCACTAGGGGTTGAGAATTGAGTGGAAAGTGTGAAAGTAGAGGCAATAAGAGTAGTTATTTTTTTCCTGGGTGTTTAGCTGTAAAAGGAAAAAAACATAGTCTAATAAATTGAGAGTTGGGAGGATGCAATGAGGGGGGTGTACAAATGGAGGAAACCCAACCATGGACAGGAACCAACAGATATGGAACTCTTCAAGAAACCATAGACCTTTATGGGGCAATCATTTCCATTTAACAAGCATACATTCAGCTTCTGCTACGAGTAAGGCATTGTGCTAGGCACTAGGGGAGCAAAACTAAAAATGGCAGTTCCTATCCTCAAAGAACTTACATTCTTCTGGAGCGGGGAGATAACACATGACTATAGATAATTAAATTCAAAATAAATGACATAGAGTTGAAACTTAATTGAATTATTTAATCTTCTTAATTCATTCTCAGTTATCTAGATAGATAATGAGTCAAACACCAATTTTAGAAAACCTAGAAGACACTGGAGTAGCCATCAGATCATGTGACATCAACTTTGTATTTTCTTTTTAGAGAGAGCTCATCTCTATAGATCAGTGGTCACATCTAACATATGGTATGGGATTTGAGATTTACTGTAGATGGGATGTGAAGGTAATAACCATCAGCATTACCTAGGAATTATATTTTTAGTATTCCCTGGAGCATTGAGGTTATGTTTCATGCAAGCCAACTCTGCATAAGCTGACACTTGCGCGTGGTTAATTGGAGACCAAAAGACATTGATTGAAGAAATTCCATAAGGACCTGTTTGAATGCTGACCTTTGTAAAATAGCAAAAGAAGATAAAATTGTCTATATAGCAGTGGAGGTGGAATGTCACCTACTAAGTAATGTCCTAGGTAGTGTAAGTTCTGAAGTCTGACTGTAGTTTCTGAAAACACTGATGCTAGTACACCATCTCTGTGTCCAAGAGTATTCAGTAATGCCATGTTGGAATGTAAAGCAGCAAAGTCTAGACAGAGGCAGGACTTAGCTGGTGAGACAAAGGCTTATTCTAAAGCTCATTACAAGCTTAATCTGGCTCACTTAGTGGGCGCTTGTAAAACATGATAGGTGCAGAGATCTAAGTAGGCTGTGCAGTCGTAAAAAGTATTGGAACTGCAGTCAGTACCTTAATGTGAATCTTGCCAATTCATTATTTATATGTGTCACCTGGGCAAGTCACTTATCCCCTCCAAGCTTCATTTACTCATCCATGAAATGGAGCCAGTAATACTTGAAATACTCAACTCACAGCAGCCCTGTGAGGATCAAATAGGATGCTGTGTGTTAACCAATAAAGTGTTATATAAATAAGGGGGAGAGACTGGACCTCTGGTTTAATTGGTATTGGGAATTCCCATATGGGGAAGCTCCCTTTACCAGTGCAGTTGGACTTCTCTCTGCACCCTATAGACTCAGAGAGTCGCCCAGACGCTGAGCAGCTAACAGGCGAGGCCTGGGAAGAATGGCCTAGGAGAAGGCAGGCTTCTGCCACAGAGGAAAAACTCATGCTTCCCTAGCTGCCGATGCCAGTTTCTCCTCTTCAGAGAAGCTGTCTGCAGCACTTCTGTCTATGTGGGGATCCAGCACCCATTGCTTTATCTCAGACCCTGTGGAATAGGAGAGGGAATGATCCTCTGCTTCTCCCCGCTTCATGAGGGGCAAAAAGCAATTCTGGGTAATCTTGCATACACACGAAAGGAGAATGAGTTGTTTTGGTTTTGATTTTTTTAATCTGTTGAAAGTACAATAAAGCCTTTAACTGGAGCTCTTGGGGAACAGTGTTAACTTTTCTGGTTAAGTCTAGCTTAGCCAGAGAGCTTTCTGTGTAACTCTGCTTCATAACGAGAGTCTCTTTAAAATATACAGATGTACTGTGCATAAAGTGTCAGGTGCCAGAGTGAATAGAGCATTAGACTTGCAGTCAGAAAAAGCTGAGTTAGAATCCTGATTCAAACAGTAGCTGGGGCGGGGCGGGGGGGGGAGGAGTTTGGTTGAGTCACTTAACCTCAGCCTCAATTTCTACAACTGGAAGGTAGAGAAAATAATAATACCTCCCTTTACTGGGTTGTTGTGAAGATCCAAGGAATTATTACACATAAAGCACTTTGAAAACCTTGAAGTACTATATAAATGTTAACTATCATCATTATTATTAGAGTGTTATTCCAATCGGTGTCATAATAATAACGCAGATCTACATAGAACTTCCTCCACAATAATCCTGGGAGATGGATAGTATAAGGATTATTATCCCCATTTTGCAGATAAGAAAACAGAATATTGTGGAGGTAGTATGACTTGCATGAAGCTTATAAAACTAGTAAGCATAGGAGGCACGATTTAAACTCAGGTCTCCAGTAGAACCCAAGTCCAGCTTGCTTTCCATTAGATCTTGCAATGTCTTTCAGCTTTGTCATAATAACCACATTCTATCCTAACGTGCTTCCTGCCTCATCCCATCCCAGCCCCGTCAGACAAGGTTAGGATCATGGATTGGAAGGTTTAGAGCTGGACCTCATTTTACAGGTGAGGAATCTGAGATACTCACCAGTGTGAGAGGTGCCAGTCACCCCCTAGGCTCAACTTGGGGACCTACTTTCTGCTTCTCCGTGCCGCTTACCTGCTATACACTGCCAGATGTAGCCTCCATCTAAGATGGATTAAGCCCTGCCGGCTTCCCTCACGCATCCCTAGTTGCTCAGCCAGTACAGACAGGATGGTTCCTAGTTTTCTCTCTACTCTTTCCTATTCAGCTATCCCTGCCAGCTCAGAACTGTCTCCATCTGACATCTGACACCCTTATTTCCTCCCAACTTTAATCTCTACTGGAAAATGGAAAAGGTAGCTCTTATTTTCTTTGTCCCTAATTCTCCCACCCCCATTCTCATCTCCAAAGTTCTCAGTTCTTATGAAACCTACTGGCCCACATAACATTGTTTCACCTAATATCATGCTTTTGTAGCATCAACTAATGACATTAGGCAAGCTATACCTGTATTGGAATGCTTTCACAGCACTAGATTTAGAATGAAAAGATTTCAGATCCCAGCTTTGCTATTTATTATATCTGTAACTTTTGACAAGTCAGTTAACCTGGAGGGGAAGGGGAACTTTCCACAAACAAATTGGTCTGAATGTATGTATACCAACCCCAGGAAATACACTAAAAGTGGCTTCTCTTGGACAGATCTAATATTGTTTTCCGGTCATTTGACTTTTTTTCTCCTAAAAGATGACTGCTTTAAAAAAAAAAAAGAATATTTGATAATTGAGCCCTCCAGTCAGGTTCAGTTAAGTGGAGTATAACTATAGTATAATTTTATTCTTCCCTTGAGATTATGTATAGAACGAGCCAAAGTAATTTTTAAAAGGAGTTTAGGTATGTGTATATGAACCATTAAGAAATTTTCGTAGAACCACAGATTTATAGCTAGAAGGGATCTTAGAGGTCCTCTAGTCCAATCTAGTCCAACCCTTTCATCTTGCACCAAAGAAAAATTCTTATAATAGTTTGCAATTATAAAATTTTAGAAATTGATATTCTTATGATAATGTATTTTAATGTTATTCTTATAATTTATAAATGCTTCACTAGTTCAGATTATTAATGATTTTGTCTGTGTGGCTGGGTATCCGTGTCTGTGGTGCAGATCACAACCCTTTTCTGAACCTCACGTGACAAACATACTGCCAATAATCACTGAACCTTCATTGAAATTGAATGCTCCCTCTCCATCTCCACCACTTAGCCTTCCTGGCTTCTTCATATCCGGCTAAAATCCTGCCTTCTGCAGATCCCCTGTAATTCTAGTGCCTTCCTTTGATAATTATCTCCAATTTATCCCACATATAGCTTGTTTGTACGTATTTGTTTTCATGTTGTCTCCCTCATTAGACTGTGAGATCCCTGAGGTCAGGGACTGTTTTTTGCCCTTTTTTTTTTTTGGTGTCTCTATTGCTTAACCCAGCACCCAGCCCTTGGTAAGTGTTTAATAAATGCTTATTAACTGACTAGAAAGAAACCTTTCCACATGGTGTAGGACCCACCAAAGTTTGTACTCCAGTCACAGAGAAGCTGTGGGAAGACATCAGAGTAGGACTTGAGTAGAGGAATTTTAAAACTTAAATTTAAGGGAAAATACTTAAAGTGAGGATATGTGTTGTAAATTACCACAGCTAGTAACACTCCCTAGCCCTGTGATTCTGGGCAAGTCACTTAACCCCAAATGCCTCAGCAAAAAA